TGTATCCTCGTTCCTTGTCCCTTCTATCAGCTCCTGCACATCAGCACTCACTGTCCCACATCAAGAACAGAGAGCTGTGTCAGAAGAGCAAAGATTTAATTTTTGTCTGGCCTTTTGAACAGACAAAAGAAGTATGAGTCCAAATAACTTTGTTCCTGATCTCCTTTTAGATAACTCTTTTCTGCTTTAATGCAAAGGGTTTCTTTCCCACATGGATGGAATGATCTGTAATTGGCAGTTGCTTCAGGCTGTCAGGCACCATGGGAGTTTTCTCTTGTCTCTGATGAGGATTTGGTGAATTTTCCATTGGTCACTTGGTGGTGTCACCATGGGCTGAGCTCAGCAGCCGACTCTGCTGTCCCCAGGGGGACGCCAAGCCTCTCAGGGCTGGAATTCGGGGTTGGGCGGGTTCGGAGCGCCCGGAGCCTGGGCCCATGAGTAGCTGCTGCTGGCACTGGCTGTGCTCAGCCCGCTGTGCCGAGCAGCCGCAGCCATGGAGACACGGGCGGGAGCTGTGGCCGAGGCCGGCAGGCGGCCCGGGCCGGCTCGCAGCTGCGAGGACGCCGGCAGCCTGTGCCCTGAGGCCGAGGCTGTGGCGGGCGCTCTGCGGGCAGGGCTTTTCCGAACCGGCTGCAATGTGTTGCCCCCCGTGTGGGCCCGGCTGCGGCAGAGGCAGGCGGGAGCGCGGTGGGGCCGGCAGCAGCGGGCAGAGGCCGCAGAGGGCAGCAGCCCAGCCGGGCCCGCTGCGGAGCGGCACGGAGCTGCCGGGCAGCCCTCGGCCGTGTCTGTGCGCACAGGACAGGAGCAGAGGCCGGAGCAGAGGCAGGAGCCGCGGCAGGAGCCGGCCACAGCGGCAGCTCGCTGTGCCCGGGGCCGCGGCCGCAGCTCTCCCCTGCCGGCCACAGCAGCAGCCGCTCGCCTCCGAGGCTCCGGCGCTTCCCGAAGATGAGGGGCCCGGCCCCCAGCACGCCCTGGAGCCCCGCAGCGAGAGGAGCCGGCGGCGCCGCAAAGAGCAGCGCAGAGGGCGCAGCTTGAGGAGGAGGACATGAGGCTGGCTCAGGGCCGCGCTGTGGCAACTCTGCCCTCTCGGCCTTCGCCTTGAGCCCTTTGCTCCTTTTCTTTGAGCCCTGATCCCCGTCCTTGGCCAAGGGCCCCCACAGCCCTTTCCAGGGCTGCAGGGAAAGCTCCCTCAGTGACAGAATCACAGAATCATTTGCTTGGAAGACAGATGCTTTTAAGATGATGGAGTCCAACCCATGCCCTAACACCTCAACTAAAGCACGGCACCGAGTGCCACATCCAGTCTTCTTTCAAAGGCTTGCAGGGATGGTGAGTCCACCAGCTCCATGGAGGGGTCACACCACAATACTCTGTACCTATTAGTGCCCGTTGTGGGAGGTGCTGTCTTTTAGTACAAGGCAGAGGATCAAGTTTCTAAATTGCCAGCACTTGGTGTGTCTGCCTGAGGATGCTGAGTGCTGGAGTCCTGCAGGACGTAGCCTTTTCCTGCAGGCAGTGACAGAAATTGGGCTATGACATGTCATGTTGGGTTTCTGTCTCGCCTCCAGCCAAAGAGATTGCATTTAGGGATCTAAATCCAAGTGGCAGGAACCCAAATGCTCTTGAGTCACAGCTGCAGGCCTGAATGCACACAGGATGTTTGGGCTGCCCATTCCTCTTTTGATTTTTCCTGCAAATGCCACTGCCTTTTCTGCCTCAACTAGAAATACCACAGCTGTGCCAAAGCCAGCCAGTGGGTGGTATTCCAAAGGCAGTGTGCTCTTGGGAGGATGAATGAAGAAGACCCTTCTTCACTTTTGAACCATTCAGAAGAAGCCATAAATGTGTCTTGGCACCAGTAAAAAAAAATAATTGGTAATTCAGGAAGAAATGTTGAGTTTTCTGAAAGGGTTAGAATGGGGTCTTCCAAATAATCTTCCAAATCAGTTGATATTTCAGAAACTTTCTTTAATTATTTAATTAATCCTAATCTATAATCCTATAAAACTCTTCAACAATCCTACTCTAGAATCCTACTCTACAATTCTACTCAAAATTGGCTATGGAGATAATATCTTGACATGATATGTTCTTGTCTCCTACTTCTTCTGAACTGAGTTGGTGAGTGGTGCCAGGATGGATGCTGGCTTGGCTGTTGTTACAAATGGATGCTGTCCACAGGGAAAAAAACCCAAAAAAAACAAAGAACAGTGAACCATGACTTTGCAAGCTCAGTGCTTCACAGGCTCAACGAGGATTCCTCTAGTTCCTAGGAAGACCCAGAAAGTAGAACGATGGGACCATCTGTTCCCCAGTTGTCATGTGCAGGACCTTGCCATCACAGGCAAATGTGGCCCAGAATCCCACTCATGTGTTCATTGTGATATCTTGCTGGGATTTTTGCCCTGCCAGTGCTCTAGAAATGGTGCTTTCTGTCCCTGGGGTTTCTTCCTTTCAGGAAACTCCAATGACTCACATAGGTCCTTGCCTTTGCAAGACAGGCTTTTATTTCCACAGGGAGACAGAGCAGTGTCTACCCTTCCATGCCCTGCCCCTCGTGTGCTGGACGGCACCTTCCTTCCCAGCAGGGCCAGCGCAGTGGCACTGGGTCCTGCAGTTCCCTCTCTGCCACACAACCTGGCAGTAACCCTGGCACAGTTCCCGTCTGCCTGAGCGTGCCAGGCAGCAGATGGGGCTGGGACAAGTCCCTCCCAGCTGTCCCTGTTTGCGTGGCAGAAACCTCTAAGGGTGGGCTGGGGGGCACAAACCAGGGCCCCTCAGAGGCTCACAGTGAGTCCCCCACAGCCCCTCCTGCCCACAGCCAAATCTTTGACTGCTCAGCTGGGACTGGCTTCCTTGGGTTCCTGCACCACCATTTCATGTGTCTGTACCCTGCATTGCTCTACTTCAGTTATTTTGCCATTAGATAAAACTGAACACCAACCAAATTGAAAAAGAGGGCAACAGAAACAGTCAGAGGACAGAGCACCTGTCCTCTCAGGAAATGTGGAGAGAGGTGGAGTTATTCAGTTTTGTGAAGAACAGGCCCCAGCAGACTTCATTGCCACTTTCCAAGACCTCAGAGTGGCGTTGAACAAAGTGGGAGACATCTTTTTTAACAGGGCCAGTTACAACAGGATGTGGGTGAATATTTTTAAACACCATTAGGATCTAACCAGAACTTGTTTACTCGGAGCATGGTGCCGCCCTGGCACAGGTTGCCCCAAGAGCTTGTAGGTGCCCCGTCCCTGCAACCATTCTGGCTCAGGTGGCAAAGGGCTCTGAGCAACCTGATCTCTTTAAAGATGTCCCTTCTCATTGCAGGACACTTGCACCAGAGGACCTTTACAGGGCCCTGCCAGCCCAGCCCAGTCTAGGATTCCTCAGTGTTTTCATTTGAAGAGCTCCAAGAGTGGAGGTGAGGAGGAAGGGCGCTCATCTGATCCTTGGACTTGAGTGGAGGAGGAGCCCACCCCTCAGAGCCTGTTTCACCTGCAGCCCCTTCACATTTTACCTGCAGGAGCTCCTTGGCAGACCAGCGCTGCTCCTCGTCTCTCTGCAGGCAGCAGCTCAGGAAGTCATGCAGGCAAGGCGAGAATTGGTTGGGCTGCTGCAACTGTGGGGTCCCTTCTGTGGCTATCAGGCATCGAGCCTGGAGAAAAAAACAAACATGAGGCTCCACTTGCTGCTTTCACGTTTCCAAGGCTCTCCCACATCCTTTTGTTTACCCTCTGTTCTTCAGTGGTAGTTTCTGCCCTGGCAGAGACCCAGAGATAATTTTCCTTTACCAACCAGAAACCCAAACCCCGATGCAGCCACAGCTTTTCCACCATCCCGCAGATCTTGCCTTGGCGGCTGATTTCATTGACTGACCTAGTTAGTGGGAACTACATCAGCAAAAGCACATTTGCTTCTCTGAGAATTCAAACCGGCTTGAGAGGCTTTTTGGAAAAGGGACTGTGCTATAGAAACTCATTCCAAGGGTTAGTACATGAAAGGCACCTCTGCAGTGCTTGTTGGTGCTTTAAGCGCACGTGCCATAGAACAAAACTCATCAAGCTTTTTGTGCTGTTCTTGAAAACAATGAGAATTGGAAGGAAAGTAAGGAAATCCATCAGTTAATCCCCAGGTAAGGAAACAAATATTTACAATCTCATCTTCAACACAGACACATTAAGATGCCTGCACAAATGTATTGGGATGAAAATGCCTGCTTAGGCAAAAAGGAGCCACCTGCAGCTCTGTCTCTCAGCAGTCTGAAAATTGCAGCTTCCCATTTTGCAGCAAAAGAAAAACTGTCATGGTCAGAAGAAGGAGAGGTGCCGTGCCTGTGGTCACCCTCTGCTCATTTGGCTACTCAAGTCAATACATTAATGGTAGGCCCATCCCAGAAAGTGCCAGGAAACAAATGGCAGGCTCTCCACATCACCAGGCTCTGGCTTGGTGACACAGAGAATGTGCCTTTGGCTAGGAGAGAAACACGGTCGCTGAGTGTTTCAGCAGCACTGCAGAAGAAGCAGAAGAGACTCTGTGGCCTTTACACTCTCATGCCAAGGTTTCAGGCATGTTTCCAAAGTGAGAAGAAACTGCACAGTGGGTTAAGTTCCTTTCTAAAGACCACAGCTTTTGAAAGTTTTTGAAAGTTTTAGAAACTTTGTTGGGTTTGGGTTTCCTTCCTTCATTTCTGGAAAGATACAAGCAGTTCCAAGACGCTTGTTTCCTGTTACTGGGGCCATCTCCACAGACAAAAGAACTGGAATCACTTTTAACCCAAAGGAAAGTGTTGCCTGAGAATGGAGTTTGTTTGCATGTGTAAGGCTTGAGTTCCCCCACTGATGTATCCAAATTGACAGCAGATGCTGATGTGCTGCAGGCACATTTTTAGGAGGGGACCTTGGTAGAAGTAGTTCCAGCAGATGGCCATGGGATTTTGTCCAATGGCATGCAGGACAAGGGACAGATAAGAAAGACAGTGGGATCAGTGAGTATTTGCCCCTTACCGAGGTATGACTTTGGTCCCAGTAAGGAGGTTCTTTTTCTACCATTTCAATCCCCACAATTCCAAAAGACCATATGTCCACTTTGGGGCCATATGGTTGACCTGTGACCACTTCAGGTGCCATCCACCACGGAGTCCCAGCTACCAAGCACGGTCTGCTCTGCTCAGGGGTGAGCTGAGTAGAGAGGCCAAAATCAGCTGAGGAGAAAGCAAAATATTGGTTTTGTTTGAATTCTGTGCAATTAGGAAAGCAGGCAAAAGAATTCCCCAGTAGAAGTTTGCTGGCATTGGCGACTTTAAAAATCCCCATTTTTTACACTGCCTCCAGCAGTGGCTTTTGTTCTTTGCAGTCTTTAGACTTGTAGCTCCCTCCCTCTGGAAGGGGCACACAGAGAGCAAGGCCACTCTTGACTGCTTGTTCCTTGTCCTGCCTCTGTGCACGTTGCAACTGTGCCCTCAGCTCACAGCGGGTGTCCCTGCACTGCCACCAGCACCATTTTTCGGGAGCTGGCTGTCACTCCGAGCAGCCCCACACCCACTTCCCTGGAATGCTGCACCTGACCAAGAATATACTGACTCAGCTTGACAGAACCGTCGGTTCTGAGAAGGATGTTGTCGCTCTTCACATCTCGATGGATCACATGGTTTGAGTGAAGAAAATGCAGTCCTTGCAGGCACTGAGAGAGAAAACAGAAAGAGGAGGGCAAAAAGTGTTGTGATTTCAGCACACAAGAAAGGCAACAAAGAATCTAAAAGATTCCCTCTGCAGGGGAATGGGCAGTAATGGCAGAACACAGTGCCACTGTGAGGACGAGTTTGCTGCTCCAACACTTGCAGAGCAGGACCTTTCTGAGGAAAGGCATGTCAGCTTTTGAAAGAGCAACAGCACCTGCTCTTTGTCCCCTGCAAACCAGCCGGGATGACTGCTGCTGCAGTGGACATTGCTCAGAAGCAAAGAGCATTTTGGCTGCACTCCTGTCCTTTTTAGCTGAGGACTGAGAGAAACGAGTCTCTCTTTTTTTTCTTTGCTGTTTGTTTCAAATCCTGCCACCAGCACCTTTGCTTTCACCGGAAAGGGATGCAGTGAAGACAGGCAAAAGTTTAGGGAAGCAAGATGGAGAACAGCAAATACAAGAGACAGAGCGAGAGTACAACAGCAGGAGTGAAGAGTACTGGCACTGAGTACAGGGAGTGCAGGGGCACTGGCAGGCCTTTCACTTGAGATGCTTTTACTTGCCCATAGCATACCAGTCACACAGAAACCAAGCTTGGCACATGAAATCACTCCTGATCTGAGCCCCTGTTTCCCAGACAATCCTGCCCAAGCCCTTGGAAACACAGATGGAATTGCTGACCTCCCGACTGATGGATGCAACGTGATGTTCAGACAGGCAGGTCTTGTAGATGATATCACTCAGAGCGCCTCCATCCATGTACTCCATAACCAGCCAGAGTTCCTCGCCCACAAGGTAGCTGAAAGAAGGAAACAAGGGCATGGAGATAAAAATGCATGGCTACCTTAACTTTTTACTTGCCATTTTCTTGTTTCCAGGTTGCTCTGTGACTAGGACAGAATCAAAGGAATAGAGAATCTGCAGACTGTGCAGTCTGGAGGAGAAAGGCACAGCTGTGAAAAAGGAGATGTCTTAGATGGCCAGCAAGTGAAAAATGCAGTTTAGCAACAGCCCAGATAAAAATCCTGTCAGGCATGGTGTTTCTGGAAATAAGCACATAGTATTCCTGGCATGCACAGCAATGGCAAAGAGGGGCAACAATCTAAGAGAAATCTACTTTAGGGTGGTTCATCAGCATTTAAGAGTCTTTAAAATTCCTCCCAAAAAAATGTAGAGGCAGTGGACTTTGAGTGTATTGACTTAGGAAGATACAGCTGATCCAGGTTTTGAATAAGTTTGGAATAATTTTCAAACGACGAGTGGCAGGGAAAACTCATGCAGACAAGATGCACTCTCTTCTCATCCATTGGAGATGAGTAAAGAAATATGAATACATAAAAATTAACAGCTCTACTTTCTGCCACTAACCCAAGTAGGTTTTTAACCTCTCATGTTTGCTGTATGTAAATGCACATCCATGGGATAACACCATGACCTCTCACCTGTCTAAATATTTCACAACATTGGGACTCCTACACCTCTTCATGATCCTTATTTCATTAATGGTTAGTTCCTTCCTCCTCAGTCCTTGAAGATTTATTTTTTTTATAGCCACCTAAAATGACATTGAAAATGAGTAACTTGAGCAGTTGGTGGCACGAGACTACAACACACATGGAGAGAGTGATTTTGCAATGACACAGCTGAGCTGTGCCGAACTGCCTTGTGATTCGGCACTGCAGTAATTAGGAACTGACATTTCCAACAGCCCATTTCTCTGCTCCGTTGGGGGCCAGTTAGAGGATACGTGGGGCCGCTGGCATTTTGCCTTGTCCACTTGGTAACAGTGATGTCTCAGCTATCACCGACAAACCTCTAACCACACTCTCTGCTGCTTTGTTTGGGATTCAGAAGTAATGCATGCCTTATTACTGTGTGGATACATCTTGGGCTATGGGCAGGGCTTAGGGCTTTTAGGGCACCTTGCAGATCTCTCCCTACGTGCAGTTCCCAAGTGCAGCACTGCAGGTGGCTAAGGAACTGCCAGTAACTTTCAGATGGATTTGCTGACAGTCAGAAAGGAGAATTCAGGACTCTGAAGCTGTAGCCCCAAAGAGCAGTGAGGTGCTCTAAGGCACCACCTCTGTTTTAGCAATGGAGAGCGAGTGAGCACGTCCTTCTCTGAAAGGAATCGCTGCCCTCCGTGCCTTCCTTCTGGCAGCTGAGGAGGACAAAGTCCCAAATGTATTTTGCAGGCAGGAACCAGTTTGTGCTTCTTGTCCCTTTTCAGCACAACTCTACCCAAAGCTCCAGCCACAGCCCGCACCAGAGGGGAAAGCCCCTCAAGAGCAGCAGAGTCTGCAGGGGCTGTTGACATTTACCTCTCTCCCTGTGGCATTGTTGAGTGCTCTGACCACATCTCCAAAACCCCTAGAAACAAAAAAGAAGAAGAGAAATGAGAAGCCATTTAGATCTTGCAGTGAAAGCCAGCCCACACAGGAGATGTGTGCTGTAAATGCCTAAAGCCTGCAGGATGCAGGAGGGCTCTGCCAGAAAGCAGATGATGCATTTTCCTCTCAAGTGCATGGGCACTGGACTTGTTCCTGAAGCGTTGGGGTTCAACTTCTAAAGAGAGATTCTTCTTTTGTCTTGGGTTTCACTTTCTAAACTGTGTGGTTCCTATCCTGACCACAGAGTATTTCCTTCTGCAAACCAGGGGAAATAAATGTTCCTGGGAACTGTTATCTTAAAGCTTTGATCGGGTAGGTTGCTCTTTCAGGCAAGCAAGATTCTTCTCTTTTCATTAGTGTGCCAGTATGATTTTGAGACATACAAAAAATGCTAAAGAAATTAACACAGAGCTATCCCACACTTGAGAGACAAGGAGATCTTCCAGGTCCTGTTCCTTGATGCAGGCAAGACCTTGGCAGCATGGAAGTATCTCTGACGATGCCTTCTGAGCCCACTCAGAAATTCTGAGCAGCACTGATAGATGGGACAATCTGTCCCCAGTGTGTGAACATCTTTGCAGCTGGCCGGACTTCACACTGGATAGATATTCCACCAGCAAAACACCTGGCCTGTGGTTCAGTAGAAGTGACTGTGGTTGGACTCACCCGCTGCCAATATGCCCCAGTTCGGTGTATTTTATCATGGGATGTATCTGGTTCACCATTCTCCCTGAGGGAAATAAAATGCATTAGCTGACTTTAAAGCAGAGATCCCAGCTTCCAGGAGATACAAAAGGCAGCCCCACTGGGGCTCTCAGCCCTTTGTGGTCAGCTCGGTAACAACAACCAGAACAGCAACAGGACAGGCAGCCGTGCAGTGCAGATGGCTGGCACAGAGACTGATTTTGTACAGTCCCTTGAAGAGTTCTCTTGACAGGAAACAAAGCACGGGGAGATGCAATTCCAGGAGAGAAAGACATCTTCCCCACCTTTCAGCAGTTTGCCAAACCAGGGCAGCTCAAACTATAACCAATCCCAATGGGGCTTTCAGCATCAGGACCCTGACCTCTTTATGAGCAGGCTGAGCTCCAAGATGCCCCTCTCCCAGCTAGGGAAGGCTCCAGCCTCTGCAGTCCCCTCCAGCCCTCAGGGACAGGGCAGCTAGCACAACAAGGCTGGCAAAGCCCAAGCATGAGCACTGACAAGCAGTGGGAAGAAGCCACAGTCAGCCTGAGCCCTGTACAAGCTGTTGCCCCCATTCAGGACACAAGAGGATGGGCCTTGAGATCAGCCACACCAAGGTGCGGATCAGTGCCCTTTTTGTCCCAACAGGTGATGGTAGACACAGAATCCCCTGGGCTCTGGTCTCAGCCCCACCAGGTCTTATCTGAGAGCACAGCACTGGCAGCTGTTACGGGCAAGAGGCAGATTCATTGGGTTGTGCTGCAGAATCACAAAGGGCTTGATGTGTTTTCCTAGAGACTGATCTGAGCAGGGCTTGGGCCAATGGCTAGGATTCTAACAGTCATGGGAAAGAGTGGGAATCAGGTATGGAAAAGTGCCATGGATCTGAGGAATATACCATGGATGGGCTGGAGGCTCTCTCCTGAGAAGTGCCTGCAGTAAAGTTTTATCTGATCATGCCACTTGGATGTGTCTCTTGGACACATCTTGATAAGCATAAAACTAGAAGATTAAATAAAAGTTGTTAGAAAAGTGTTGAGTTTTTCTTTGGGGGCACATGGAAAACACTTCCTGCTCTCAATTTGTCATGTAACCTAATGTTCTTTCAAAGTAGATCATATTGACAAAAAGATAGCATTCTCATGAAAATAAACTGCAGCAACACAAAATCAGTGGTAACAGTAACAGTCATAAAAATGCCATCAGTAAGATTGGGGACAGAAGGGCTCTTTCAGGCTGGAGAAAAACCAACTCCACCAAAAAAGCCCCATAAACCATCAAAACAAAAAAACCCTAAAACACAACAAATAAACCCCACAGAAACAAAAAACAAAAGGCCCCTACAAAAATTAAACACAAAAACACCCCCCCCCCAAAAAAATCCCCAACCAAAAAGACAAAACTCCAAAGCCAATCCATTTCTGTGAAGTTGTTTTGCTCTGATGACTGGTTGGAAGTCAGGAGTCTAAGGAGAATTTAGGAAGCTGAAAATTCTGTGCAGTTTGGCCATGAGCACACAGGACTCGCCTAGATCATTTGCAAGGTCACAGGCTTCTGCTGATCCAAGAACAATCCCTGCTTCAGCCTTTAGCAGAGAGGGAAGCTCAGGCAAACCCAAGCCAGTCCAAGGTGCCCTCAGAGGCAACAGGAACACCCAGAGCGCTCTCTCGCTGCCTCGGAGCAATGCCAGCACTTCCTCTGGGGAGTCCGAAATGGCCCTGTGACACTCAACTCAGGAGGAGCATTTGGTACAGCTCTGCTGACACCTGCACACAACACACTGTCCCTCAGACAAGCAACACCCCAGACATACCCAGCATCTCCAGGTACTTCTCCTCGGTCTGCTGTTTTGGAGAGTTTAAGGAACTGCCCGAGCTCGAGTTCCCTGGTTTGAGAGAAGAGCTTCCTCGAGGTGATGCTGCTGCGACAGCAGGTTCAGAGCCCATGATGTGCTGGACCTGGAGCACTTCTGGTGGGCACTGTTCCTGTGCCTCACTCCTGACTTGGGGTCCTTCATTGCCAGATATTCGCTGGAAGTCTTCACAGGCTGCCTGGTGAGATGTCAGCACTTGCACCTCAAATGAAACAGAACAAAGCAGTCAGACACTACAGCTTGTCCCTGTCAGCAAGGAGTCATTGACTGTGAGGAAAGGCAAAGAACAGATTGACAAGGGATACAGACAGCTTGTTTCAATCCTCCATCTGGATCACCACGTTCTACTGTAAAAACACCTCAAGAAAGAAGGGGAGAGCAGGAACAGGCCAGCAGGAATCAATTTGGATGACTGCTGGCCAAAGGGCCAAAGGACAAGTTTCATTGTCCAGGGCAGCAGTTAAGACTCCGCACAACAGGAAATGTCCTTCAGAGTGACTGTGATACCCACTACAGCAGGATGGCACTCAGAGGCATGGCCCCACTCCTTGCTGCTCTGCAGTGTCAAAGGCAAGAAGGGCAGAAACCACCAGTTTGGTGACTGCAGTGACTGCATCCCTCTTTTACTCACTTGGTCTTCTCGAGCCTGAGGGAGGCAATTAAGTTTCTCTCTGACGCTTTTCATTTCTTCCTCCAGCCTCTTCTCTCTTGCCTTGTTGGTAGCCTCAGAGTCCTGCAGCTCTGCCTGCACGTGTCCCTTGATAGACTGTAAACAAGAAGGGAGAGGGCATTTCATGAGTGGAGTGGCTGCCACTCTTTCATTCACCTGGTTTTGTTGATCGCCCCTCTGCTGATGGAGATTCTCCTCTTGAATTCTTCCCATGTCTTCCTTGTTCCTCCTCTTCACTGTCATGATGGCACTCTGAGCTTGGGGCAGCTCTGCTTGTGGCTCTGCCTTGATGTTCTGTGCACACAAATGCAGAGCAAGTGACTGGGAGCTGCCATCAGGCTCAGCTTTTTCCTCTTGCAGCCTCAAAATCACATTTATGCAGCCACTTCTTTCTGCTTCCCTCCCCACATCTGCTTCCAATGTAACCCTCCTGTCCCAGGGCTGATCTCTGCAGATTCCAAGGCTCTGTGCTTCCAGTGCCTGTGGGATTCCTGGCCTCCTCAGTCCCAAGAGCTCTGGTTTATGCCCCTCTTCCTGCCCTTTCTTCTGTCACCTGGCCAGTCAGGCTTACCTGGCCATTCTCCTGTGCCTCTTCCACCTGCTGCCTGAGCTGCTCTTCCTGCTCTCGGGCTGGGAACGGCTCTCCCTGAGTCTGGCATGGCATCTCTGATGAAGCAGTCTGCTCCTGCTCTCCCTCTGGAAGCACCTGCACAGAAAGCAGGAGAAGATGGGTTTCAACTTTCCATATGACATTTGTGGGCCAAGACTCAAAGACTGCTGGGCTCACACGTTCCCAAAGCACTGTGCTGCTGCTCTGCTGGGTCATTCTCTGTTTGAGGGGAGGCACAGATTCCAAAGTGGACCTAGCCCTACAATCAGGGGCCATCTAGAAATGAAGCTCCAACAGCCTCTCAGGCAGCTGACAGGGAAGG